CTTCCCGTCCGTCCGTACAATGGACTGTTTTTGAGGTAACGTGTTCTGGCGCAGTATGAAGGCCATCATGGCCCCTTTACAGAAGAGGCCCTCTGTGTCTCTTCATGGAGTGACACTATCTGGTTTGCGTCTACTCCCACTTCCTTCCTCTCTCACTTTTGCTGCCCTAGGATTGCACCTCCCAATGAAGCCTTAGTAATTAAGTGTTGCCTAAGGCTCTGTTTTCTAGGGAAGCTGAGCTAAGCCTGGCTCCCAGATCCATGTCCTTCAAATTCCCACTTGCCAATGCTTCTGCTTATTGCACCATGGGTCCTCTCCTTGCCCCTTTCGTCTAAGTCACATTCTGATGTCATTCAGTTCAGCACCACGACTCTCCTGATCATACCTCTGTTTTGGCCCTGTGTTCTCACAACCATCTTGGTTTATCTCAGTCCCAATTCGATTCATATTTTTGCTGTTCCAGCCTCCATTCCTTCTTCTTACTATGGTTAGCAATATTTTAATTTTTCTCTCGGAAATTACTCCCCTCATTTTCTTAGTTCACGTGACTCAGGTGGAGCTAAACTTCCTTCCTACACTGTTCAGGTCTCAGCCAACCAGTGTATTCCATACTCCTAGTCCTAGTGAGTGGTTTGCAGATAGGGACGTGACCGGGTTGGTCCAAACAGAGCCAATCCTGAGCTACTGAATTCATTCATATCTGAAGTTTTCTACCTTCAAAACTTTCAGTTTTCTGGGTGAATAAATTGCCCTACAACGGAAGGAGGACAAACTAATGATTCTGTCTCTGTAAATCCCAGCCTCCTGAGAATTAATATAAAAACCTGGGGTAACCAACAGCAAAGCTCCCTAGAACCTTGTGATCTCTATCTATACCTTTCCACTACAGCAATGTAGGCCAAGCTTAAATGAGTCATTAGGTAGACAAGGATTGAGTTACCGGCCCTGAGGGCAGACTCTCCACACCCAGTACTCAAGTAGCCATTCCACAGTACAGTGTGTCTTGTCACATCTTGCCTCTTCTTTCCCTCCTGATCTGTGTTTTGGTCTGAGTGCCTTGCCAGCAATCTGATGCAACTTCTTAAATTCTTAAAACTGCAGGGGAATTTTATGGCCAGTCAGGCACACAGTCCTTCAGCAGAACCGAGCAGGTGGAATTTCTGGCACCTTACCACACTGGAGAGACAAAAGCCGGTCTGTTGCACTGGGATGTGGGGCAACGTTAGAAGGAACTTCCGGGCCTGACCACTGTGCGCCTTCCAAGTTTGGCTCCTATCATTCCTACTTGGCTCATGTTCCTATCTCTCTTAACGTTTGATTGATTATGCCTCTCCTAATAGAGTTTTACTTTTATACTTTGGCACACAACCTCTAAGAAGGCAGGCCTTCTGTTCCAACAGGATGTGTGGGAACTGGACACTGGTGAAGTCTAATTACTGTGAAATAGAGCTCTTTACTCTGACTCAGGGTCAGGGTGTACCAGTGTGTCCCCAACCAGCACCAAAGGACAACTTGGGGCTCTTCCCCAATCTTGCCAGGGCTCCAGCAGATGGCTAGAGTTTGTGCATATCCTGCTGTGGTCTCAGTGCAGTGTCCTTATGCAGTGGTCAGATGTGCACCGGGCAAGGTCTAAAGCACATGCAGTGGCTTTCTCCTGTTTATATGATGAGTGAATGACTGATGGGTAAAGCCCTGAGGCACACACTGAAAAATAAAAATATCCCCATTCATGTAATGGTCCGTTTTCTCTGGCATGTTAACCCCTTTAGTCAACACAACTTCTGGACATTTGTTTGGTGATGCTTCCAGCAGCCATATCCCTAGTCTGCCGGGCAGATGCATGCTGGGCAACCGGCTGACTTTCAGGCAACTATGACTATAGAATTCAGCTGTAAAATACATGGACCAAACAGTAACAGCAAACATTGAGTATCTTCTTTATGCAAGGTACAGGCTAGGTGCTAGTGGTTCAAGGCACAAAAAACCGAATTAAAACATTGTTACAAAATGTGAAATGTGATTTGAATGAAATGCACCAGAAGCAGAGACAGAATACTAGGGAAAGGTGACCATTCAGGGAAAGACTTGCTGAGGATGTGACAAGAGGTAAGACAAAAATAATGAAAAGGCAGTGATCATGCATGTGGTTAAAGGAAGGGGGAATGTAATAGCCAGAAAGAACAGCATATGCAAACTCCCTGAGGTGGTTATGTTAAAGAAATGGGAAGATGAGCAGGGTAGCTGGTAGGCTGGAACAAGCAGGGAGAATGGTGCCAGATGAGAACTGAGGCAGGGTCAGTGGCAAGATAGATAGCTTAGATGGAATTCTATGTGAAAAATGAAGCCACTGAAATGGGAGAATTAAATGAAATCATTGCAATTCCAAGGTCATTCTTACTTCAAAATGCACACAGAATGGGTTGTAGGAGGCAGAAGAGAAAGAAAGCAAGGGGACCAGTAAGGAGGCTGCAGCCAAGTGCAGTAGCCTTGGGGAGGAATGGAGGGTTTCCCCATCCACTTGGTGGTTGAATCAACACGACTTCCTGTTGGCTTTGATGTGAGAAGTGAGACAAAGAGGAAGTAAATATGACTCTTAGATTTCTCATTTGAGAGATTGGTCTGTGGTGGTGTCATTAACTAAGATGGGGGAATCTGAGGAGAGAACGTGTTTGTGAGAGTGAGTGGGCATCAAGCTCTGTGATTACATTTCAGCTGCTTGTGAGACAGACAGTGGGAAGATAGACTATGCACCTGGGGCCTGGAAATGGGGTCTGACCGTGAAGCAGGAATTTGGGGCTTGTCAACATGGAGATGGCATTTAAAGCCGCATGAATTGATGGGGTTCCAGGAGAGAATATGGTAAGAAAATAGGGGGGCAGAGGGCTGTATGCCCAGTCCATTTCTCCCCTCAAGTTTTTCTCCACAGTCCTAGTCCAAGGCCTTCCTTCTTTAGGCTTCAGAAGCAAAAGACACACTGCCATTCTCTCCTCTCGTTAAAAAGTCTAATGGCCTCTAAATAAGTGAGCCAACTCTGGCCATCTTCTCAGAGATCCCAGTCCTTAAGCCTGTTCCCACGCTTCTGTGTTCTCATTTTTTCAGATTAGCTTCCTCCCCACCCCCACCCCTACTCCCAAGGCTGACAAATAATCTTCATGCTAGGAAAAAAGAAAGGAAGGAAGAAAGGAAGAAACCTTAAGTAACACTACCATCACCACCCATCCAAGCAACTAAGCCAACAAACAAAAATACAGCATGAGCTCTTAGAAAGGACAGTACCCTGCTGACCAAGTCTTGGGGCCTAATTTGCTGTTCTACTGTTAGCCTTGGGGTGAGCCATGCATGCTTCAAGTCATTCTGCTTTGCCTCGTCAGTCGGTTTATCAGGGTGTAGCACTGATCACAGGGAAGACTAAAGAAGATAATTTGACTGGCTCTGGGCCAACCAGGACCACTCCTGTTTGAGCATATATGCTCTACTAAAAATGGGTCATGAAGCTCACATGCACCTGGAAAGGTATCACATATCTTTCCATGTGGTGCATGCACTTCAAAGACCCCATTGTGGACCTATCTGCTCTTAAGTGAAATGGTCAGGTTCTTCTCTTACCTCTCTGTGACTACTCCCTACTCCTGGCAGATTTGCCTGCTCACTCTCCTACCAATAGCTCCCAGACTAAGCCAGGAATGAAATTCTAAACCAGAAAGAAGCAAACAGGAAGTGTCCTAGTTGTGGCTGTAGATTACCCACAACATTGGGGTTTCCTTTTGATGTTTTGTACCTTTGCTTTTGCTCATTTTGCCCTGCCCCCTTCCTTCCGGTACAGAGTTAGGCCACTTTCCTGGCCTTTCTCTGCTGTGTTGAAGCCACCTATTTCCTACCTTCCTAGCTGGTGCTTACCCCAGTATTTTCCCTGGCCAATCATTGCTGTGCTGTACAGATTGGTAATCTGATTCACAACTTTGCCCTGATGCTTGATTTGCATGTGTACCTCACCCTGGCTCCCCGTCAGGCTGCAGACCTAGTGTGCAACCCAGATCCATAGCTTCTGCATGTCCTGCATGTTCTGCATGTTCTTCATTCTCCAGCCCCAGCTTTCTATGCTGCCTGTCTTTATGCTAAGCCACCCTCTGACCCAGTTCCTCTGATGACATAAAATGCACACATGCAGACTGCTTTTTAATTCATGACTGCTTTAGATACCTGCATGCCATAGTTGTGCATGCTTATTTATAATATATATTTTGTAACATTTTGGCTCACCAATAACTATTCCGTCTCTGCTCCCCACCTACTGGTTCTGCCTCCTGTGCCTTTTCCATGATGGTCAGCATTGGTGTGTATCACTGCTTCTAAGCAGGGTTGCCATTGATTCTTTTAAGGATTTCTTCTTTCTGTGCTAGGGGTGTCTGTTTCATATCAGTTCACGACTCAGAGATTCTTGGGAAACCTGCATTCAGCCATCATGTTTAAATGGTGAGGTGAAGGCTGGGAATGATAAACTGATGGAGTTCCAACCTGCAGTGGCATTTAGTATTAAGCCTGTTTCATATATGGCATTAATGGAATTGGTAAAGAAAGGGTATGTAGCTTTCTTTAGCACTATACCCTAAATTATTCCTGGTCTCCTGAGTGCATATGGTTTGATTATATTTCCTTTCCCTTAAAAATGTCAGGCATGCCCATGTGACTTGTTTTGGACACAGAAATATGAGCAGAAGTTACATGTGTTACCTCTAGAACTAGTGTGCATTTTGGTACATTTCCTTTTTTTCTGCCAAAGCCAGCACTGCCTAACAGAAATATAATGCAAGACATATATGTCAGTTTCAATTCTTAGTCACATTAAAAAAGTCAAAAGAAAAAGTTGAATTAATTTTAGTGATATATTTCATTTAACCCAATATATAAAATATTATTTCTATAGGTAACCAATATTAAAATTATTCATTAATTTAATTTTTTCCATATCAAGTCTTGGAAATCTGGGGTGTGTTTTACAGTTACACTGCAACTCAGACCACCCACACTGCAAGGACTCACAGCCAGACATGTCTGGTGACTGTCGTGTTGGATGACACAAGCCTCAGCAATCTTGAAATGTGGCTAGTCTTAATTGCAATGTAAGTATAAAATATATATAATTTATGTTTTAAAATTTTACCACCAAGCCCTGGCTGGTGTGACTAAGTGGGTTGAGTACCCGCCTGTGAACTGAAAGGTCGTTGGTTCGATTCCTGTTCAGGGCACGTGCCTGGGTTGTGGGCCAGGTCCCCTGTTGAGAGTGTGTGAGAAGTAACTGATAGCTGTTTCTCTGGCACATCGATGTTCTCTCCTTCTCTTTCTCCCCACTTTCTACTCTCTCTAAAAAATAAATAAAATCTTTAAAAAAATAAAAATAAAATTTTACCACCCCCAAACCATGGGCCAGGTCTTTAAAAGTCCAAGATTTCCAAGACTTACAAGGGTCCTTGTTCCCCAACTGTTGGTGGGCAGTAGGCTAGTCTGTAAGGAAGGCACATCCTCTAATGCTCACTTCAGATGAGGTCAAGGAGGATACCGGACCTGAGAATCAAAGCACATTCTCTGCCCCTGAGCAGGGGGCCCTTACAACACTTACCCAGTGAGATTTCAGAATTCTAAATGAGCACTGTGTGTCTATCATACTTCCCCAAATTGTGGTAAGGACATAATATTAAGGCATGGAGAGAAAAGATTGGGAATAAAAGGAATGAGAAGTTATGGGTTAGTAGTTAGATGCCCTTTGGAATTATTTAAAGAATAAAGTTTGGAATTACATTTAGTTATACTGGCTACTGGGCTGATTTCAGGAACATAACCCCTTGCAGATGCTGCTCTCACTGGGGCCAGGATGCTTGGTGAGTTACAATGAAACAAACCAAACCTGGTGCAGGTCATCATTAGAATGTGCCATATCCGTTCTGCACATATCAACTAGGTTGTTCTTTTTAAATGTGAATCAGACTGTGCCACTCCACACTGAAACACTTGACATTCCTTTCGAAGTATCCAAGGCTCTTCATGATGTTTTCTTTTGCAGCCTCATTTCTTGCCACTCACTTCCGAATGTTTTATACTTCAGGAACACCAAAGTATTTCGGGTTTCTTGCTCATACCATACTGCTTCTCTTTATTTCCTGGGATCCCCTTCTTTCTCTTTACCTGGCTAATACCTACTAATTATTTAAGATTTAATTCCGTGCCATCTCAAAGAAGTCTGTGTTGCCTGCCAGATGATTAAGTGTTCTTATTTGACTCACCCCACGACCTTGCACATCTATTGTTAAACTTACCACTTAGTATTAAAATTATTTATTTATGTGTGGCTTGTTCTTAGGGGCTAGGTAGATGCTCATTAAATGTTTCTTGAGTAATATTCTGGAAGAGCCAGTGACCACAGAGAAGAATGGATAGAGAGCAGGGTTGGCAGGGTTTGTCAGTGTTGCCTCCACTTGAACTTAGGCGGGCTCCATGACTGCTCTAATGAATAGAATATGGTAGAAGTGGCACTGTGCTAGTTTTGGGGCCCAGGCCTAAAGAGATTGACAACTTTTACTTCCTGTCATGTGGAACTCTCACTCTTGGAAGCCAGCTTCCATGAAGAAGTATAACTACCTCGAGGGTGCCATGTTGTGAGAAGCAAAAGCCATGTGAATAGGAAGTGGGGGATGAGACATCATGTGGAGCAAGAGAGAGACTAAGGATGCTAGACATATGAGTGAGATGCTAGACATATGAGTGAGACATCTGAGGTATCTTAAAAAGGGATATCCAGCCCCGATGACCCCAGCTGACATCAAACGGATCGGACACAAGTTGGCCAGCTGAGGTCATCCTGAATTTTCCAATCTCCAAATCCTGAGCAAATAAAATAGCTGTAAGGCAAACTTAATTTGGTGGTAGTTTGCTCTGCAGCAATAAATAGCAGAAACATAAGCGCTGCCATTACAAAAACCTAAAATATGTGGCACTGATCTTGAGATTGGACAGTAGTCAGAGACTGAAAAGACTTCAAAGGAGTATAATGGGGGCTGGAAGGATAGGTTATTATTAAGACTTGGCAGGGGGGGAGCCTATATGGTATAGATGCAGAAGGTTTAGCAACGCTGCCACCTGACATGTTTTAAAAAATATAAAATGGACCTAATAAACTGGTGGATCTTGGTAAGTGGACTTCCAGGCAGAATGTTAAAAGTGCCAACAAATTCTTTTATCTGAATATGATAAAGTATAGATAGAGAGATAAGCTAAAAAAAGTTATTCAAAGTTTTTAGCAGAACCTAGACGAAATACATAGGACCCAGGACTTACTGACTTCAAAAGCAAAACTCTTTCTTATCTGTTTTCTGGCTCAGAAAACATTTTTAAAGCAAGAAATGTTCTCCAGGTAAAGATCAAATCCAGGACAGTAAAACTAAGTAAAGATAAAGTCAAAGCTGCAAGCATCAATCCCTTTGGTGAGATCTCAGAAATGTTTAATTAATGCCCCATGGAGCCTATCAGATAAATGCAAGATTTTAAATAGTGTGGTTAAACAACAGAGATTCTAATAATCTTAAAGGTATTCACACCATCCATAAGCAGATTTGTAGAGGGCAAAGGAAGAGAAGATGTGTGGGCCTGACTCTTATCTATCAGAATAGATTCTAGTTTGATACACAAGAATCTCACTATGTTTGTAAAGGAATTATACCACCTTGGACTGAAAGAGTCAGAGACATAGGCTCTTTCTTATGGAAAATGAAAAAAGACTAAGGTGGAACCAAGAGCCTAAACATCAGAATTAAGGGCCACTAAGAATTATACCAAAGGTGCAAGAATAGGACTTAATCGAGGAACTGGCAACATATTCCTAACAGGATGTCCTATCATTATGGAGCACTGACTGTCCTGTGCCGCTGCCCCCATTTCCTCCTTTTTTGAAAGGGCTTTTCTATACACTTGGCCCTAGCATCTTACCAGTATGTTTGTGTTTGTGTATGTGAGAGAGAAAGAGCAAGGGCAAGTTAGTTATATTTTTCTATTCACAGGAGGACTTCAGGTTGAGAGGACACATACCTGAGGAATCAAACCTGAGGAGGCTTATCCGCACCTGGCCCTGAGATTGGCAACCTTAAGCTTAAGCCTGAGCCTAAGACATAATAGGATGAGACTCACAGGGACTGTGGAAGGGATTTAGCACATTTTGCATGTGTAAAAAATATGAGCAATTTGTGACCATAGGGTAGACTATGGCAGATTAAAGATTGACTCTTTTCCCATTGATAAGTGAGGAGTCTATGTCCCTCCCCTTGAATAGAAATGGATTCTGCGACTGTTTTGATCAACTGAATACAGCCAAAGTAAAGTTGCAGCTATTTATGAATCTAGGTTTTAAGAGATTGCCAACTTTCATTTCCTGTTTCTTGGAAGCCAGCTACCATTTGAGAAGTATGACTATCCTGATGCACCGTGCTGTGAGAAGCCCAACCCCGTGGGGTGGCCCTGGGGGATGAGGCATCCTGTGTGTGGAGAAAGAGGCCAAGGAGCAGTGATGAGCCACATATGAGTGGAAGAGATTTCTTAGAAGTAGGTCATCCAGTCCTAGCCACCACAGCAATGCCTCATGGATCAGAAACAAACCCTTCCAGAATTCATGATGTACAAAAATCACAAGGTAAATAGCCTGGTTGTTTTCAGTCACTGAGTTTGGGGCAGTTTATCACACTGCCAGAGGTAACCAGAACAACTTCTGCTTTGAAGTCACTATTTAATCAAAAGCACTTGCTCTTTTCATTCATGGAAATTGTTAGTTGCACAAAATTTGAGTCTGTCTGACCTTATGATTTCTGGCCAACAGATGTGACAGAAGTGATAATGTCTCAGTTCTGAGCCTGGACCTCAAGAGGCTTGTGTGCTTCTGTTCTTTCTCTTGGAAACTTTGGAGCCTGAGGACATTAGTCATCCCAGTTGACCCTCCAGCTGACCCTGCAGCTGGCCACAGACTTATGAGTAAGCCCAGCTGAGATCATCTGAGTCCAACCCAGCAGAGAAGAACCCACCCAGTTGGACCCAACTAAACCGCCAACTCAAAGAATCATGGACTAAAAAATTATTGTTGTTTTAAGTTGTAAGTTGTAAAGTGGTTTGTTAAGCAGCAACAGCTAACTGGTACAACAGCCTTCTGTTTGATTTACTTCCAACCAAGAACAAAATAAAGAAGTATGGGTTGTTCTTTCCAGTTTTAGGTAATTTATTTACTTTTGTTTCTTTATAAATTTGAAGACAAAACCAATACACTAGCTGGCAAGATGCAATGGGAATGTATCAACACTGTGACATTCCTGACCAAAATTCAAAACCTAAATCCAATTATATGCAACATTAGGCAAATCCAAATTGAGGGATATTCTTCAAAAGTGTCAAGGTTATAAAAGAAAAGGAAACATAGAGAAACTATTACAATTTGAATAAGACTAAAGACACATGAGAAAATGCAACATATAGTTCTAGACTGGATCCTTTTATTATAAAGAGCACTTTTGGGACAAGAGATAAAATTTGAGTGAGAATACAGAGTGGATGGTAGTGGTGCATCAGTGTCAATCTACCAGTTTTGATGGTTGTATTGTGATTATGTAGGAAATATATTTGTTTATAGGAATTATGTACTACAATATTTGCAAGTTTTGGGGCATTGGATAGACAACTTAGTCTCAATGGCTCACTTTTTAAAAAGTTGAAAAGAAAACAAATAGTTTAGAAAAAAATCTTATTGGTAGGGCAGTCCTAACCCTACAAGGTAATAAAAAACAGGCACTTCCCACTTAAGTCAATAAGTTGTTCTTGATAATCAGAGTTACTGCCCAAAAAGTGCTGCCTGAGATCCTGTTTCTCCATTAATTTAAGTTGGAAAAACTATAACATGTAATCGGTACATCAACCCAAAACACTCAAATTTAATTTCTCAAACATGGAACCAAATGCAGCAAAATGTCTATATGTCAGAAGCATTGTGTTAGTGTATAATATGTTTAAACATCACTTTCTGATCAGCAGACAATAATATGGTTATAAACAAACTTTTGCTTTGTGGGTACCATCCCAAATATACCTTCCTGTGCTGTCGTTCTTGGTGGGCTTTCCAAAATGGTCTACGCATTTTGATATTGCTGTGATTATAATATCCTACTAATTTTATTAGACTCAAGACATTTGTTTTATTATTGTTTATTAATTCAAGACTTACTCTACCTATAGTTTGTTAAAAAATATGGTATTGAGTTTTAGGAAAAGGTATAAATTTTCCTATATAAACAGTGTTGAAAAATATTATACTGAAAAAAAAAGCATGTTCAAAGAAGTTTGTGTAGTGTAATGCAAGAGGCATTCTAATAAAAATTTATCTGTGGAGACATATGGATTATGCCTACTTATTATAAAGCTGTAATCATGTCAGGTATACATCTTAACCAGATAGCTAAGTAAGAGAGTATATTGGCTCTCAAATGTAATTTGTACTATACAAACTTATAATTAGCAAATGAATAAAATCATTGGCTAGCAATTGAGAAAACAATTTAGACTGTTACATCATTATAAACACTAATTCCAGATAACTTAAAGTATTAAACAGAAAATCTAAAAGAAAATGAAATTGAATTTGTCCACCTTATGCAAAGAGAAGAGTTTCCTAAGTATAGAAGCAACACGAGTCAGTGGGGAAAATACAGAGGTTTGAGTATAGTGAAGTTTAAGAATTTTGCGTGTATTAGTTTAAAAGTAAAATGAATATTACAGCAAATAGCAGACCAAAGTATTCAATGTAAGAGCTCTTATAAATCCATAAGAAAGATATGATAGATGTGTGGGAAAGGACATAAAAAGGCAGCTTGTAAGAGAAGAAACACACATAGTGAACCACATTATGGAGAAAAAAATAACTTTGCTAGTAGTCAAAGAAGTGAAAATCACAACTGGGGACTCTCATAGTTATTTATTAGATTATAGAGAAATCATTAAAAAAATCACAAAATCCAAAGGCATGAGGCTGTGGTAGGCAAATGGGATACTCTGCACTTAGTGGTGCCTGGGTAAAACTACAGACCCTTTAGGAAGCAATTTGGCACACGGACCCAAGAGCTATAAATATTTTGGGATTTGTTTTAGTTTTCCAACAAAAGGGACCATTACAAAGCTGTTTAGCAGAAAAGCATGTCTGTGTTGAGGTGGGAGGGCCGACTAAATAGCTCATGGTGAAGTAAGCTATGGTGCCAACACTTTGCCAGATAGTATGTAGTCATTAAAATAACTCGGAAAATAAACAAGAGTGACGTTCCATGGTATACCCTGTATAATTACCCAACTCCGTCACATAAGAAACAGCACATAAAAATAAGTCATGAGATTATAACCAGGATGACAGTAGATGTGAGAGGTGACGAGGTGGTAAAAGATTCTTTTAAAAACACTTTTCTCTTTTTTTCCAAGTTAAAAAAAACACGTTGCCCTTATAATTAAACAAAATAAAGAAAGAAGAGAGGAGAGATGAAATTCTGGTGCATGTAGGCAAATGGAATTTTTTTCCTATGTGACTATTGAAATAACCATCACCAAAAGTCCATGAGACAATCATAGAGATGCTGCTGACTGCACCCTGGAAAGCATAACAGGATGACAGACCACTGTAAAGCCAATATCCTACGAGGAGCTGATGACAACTCTAAATAAGACAGGTCACGTACCAACCTGCTCAAGGAGACTTCCATACAGTCATAGCTGCTGTAACACATTAGAAGGCTTTAAACACATCAAGTGCTTACTGGCCAGGAAATAAGCCTGGTAGTTAGGTATTTTTGTTTATGTTCAACATAAGGTGTGTCTGTGTTTTTCTACTCATCATAAGGTTAAGGTCACAGTGTTTTTCTTTTATAATATGGATCATAGAAGAAAAAAGTCAGCAGTACCATCATACAGTGGTTTTTAATGTAGGAGCAATCAGTAGAGGTGGGGTACATTCTTTCTTTGTTTTTCAAAGATCATTTAAAAATTTCAGATTTTGTGCTGGTACTATTTTAAATCAAGGAAGTACATTGGTGATATCATTTTACTTGTAGTTTGCTGCTTCTTAGAGCAGATGATGTTTCAGGTGAATGTAATATACAGTGGGGGTAACTACCCATTTAGCTTTACAATTCTATCAGTGAAATGCCAGGGGAGAGGGAATATCTTGTTTTCTTTGAATTGTGTTTTTGTAACCTGAGATTCAAGTTCAGGTTTCCTGAAGTATCTTTGGGCATTGAATCTGAATTAATTACTGTGTCCAATTTCCTCCTCCTAGTTCCCAAGACAAGTGCAAACAAACTAGCAACGGTTACCCTCATAACCACTAGAGATGATATCAAGGAAAGTTCAGAGTTGTACAGTGTTTCATGGGTAAGAATTTATCCACTGAGAAAGAACAAAGGGGGAATCAGGATGACACAAATTGGAAGCTATTGGATATACTTAATATCTTCTAGTTCAATTCACACCTTCCAAGTATGGGTTAGAAACACATCTCAAAGATAATAATTGAAGGAGGTAGTTTCTTTGTTCACTCCCTCCCTCACTCCTTCCCTTCCCCTTTCCCTCCTTTCCTCCGTTCTTCCTTTCTGTACTACAGCTGGCACTGTCTACAATGCGCAGGCAGGCCTCATGCCAGGTTGCATGTGTGCTCATTGGGTTGCCACGCATTCTTTATGACACTTTATGACAGATCTGAGAATTTCCCTCCGTGAAGAATGACTCATGAAAACAAAAGGCAGATATAGGTCTTTTTGAAGTTCCTTCGAAGTGACTGGTACCAATGTTCAAAATGTCATATTTCTTGTGATATAAAGTTCCCAGTAAATAATGAGTGGATTAACAGAATAATTCCATCATCTTGTCCTCTAAAAAGCAGACTCTTGCTCTCAGATTGTCTTTTCGTCTCGGCTGTAATTCTCTGTACAATCTACTAATGAAACACTCCAAAGGCTGGTCCAAGGGGAAACAGAATAGAATGGCTTTTCTTATTTTCTTTATTAGACATATTAAAGAAGAATTCCTTCCTCTTTAATTTAAGTATTGGGGCAGAAATTTGAGAATGACTTTGAAAATCACCTATGAGGTGAAGAGAATGACATACTGAGTTTAATTTTGTATAAGGGAATATTTAAAAAATAACAAGTACTAATATTAATGATAGTAAATATGAAAGCCACTACTTTGTGGTAGGCAGTTAGGCCTTGAAAACAGGTCCCTGGGTAATGCCTTTTTCTGCCACAAAAAATTGTGTCTGTCAGTTGTGAGTTAATACAACATTTCTTTTTTCAAAAAATTAGAACAGATTCGAGATGGTTTCTATACTAACTTAATCTTTGCTTGCATTTTCTTCAATCAGAGAGAAAGTTGTAGGCTTTTGGCTAATATTCTGGGGAGTCGTGGCAGTCTCAGGTGTACCTATAGTTATGGAGTGGATTGTGTCCCCCAAGAAGACCTGGTGAGCTTCTAATCCCAGTGCCTCAGAATGTGACCTTATTTGGAAATAGTCCTCACAGATGAAATTAGATGAGATGAGGGTGTGCCCCTAATCTAATATGACTCGTGTCTTTATATAAAAAAGAATGCCATGTGAAACGACAGAGACACAAGGGAAGATGGACATGTGACGATGTCATTGAGTTGGCTGCCATAAGCCAAGGACTGCCTGGGGCCACCAGAAGCTCGGAAGAGGCCAGGAAAGATGCCCCCTTAGAGGCTTTGCAGGCAGCATGGCCCCAGTAACACCTTGGTTTCAACTTCTAGCCTCCAAAACTGTGAGATAATACATGTCTGCTGTTTTAAACCACCAATCTGTGGTATTTTGTAGTGGCAGCCCTGGGAAACTAACAAACCCAAAGAGGTGTGCTGTGCTTGTGTGAGTGTCATTCAGTGTCATGCATGAGTTATCATTTCTGAAGAAAGAAAAATGAAGAGGAAGAAAAAAACTCTTTTTTTCAAAGCTATATAGAAGTCTGGGCTGGCTGGCTACAAAATCTGTGAATGGCTGTCTACCTGAGAAGGTTGTCGCCAATCTCTAGTGTTCACTAAGGTCCTGATGTTTCACACTTGTAATCCATGTCTTATAAGGTTGTTTAGACGGCATAAATAACCACAGGGGCCAAGGCTCTCAGGCATTGACTAAGAGTCTGAGTCAGCAGTTGGCTTTCAAAATTTGCTCACAGGAAATCAAGATTGGGCCATTGTAAGGCCGAGGACCCTTGCTTTAGCCCTGGCTTAAGGATTCTCAGTTGGAAGTGGGACTCCGGTATGGCCTTGGGATTCTTGGCTGTCCTTATGTTGTGAGAACGTGTCCTGGGCAGGGCAAGTGTTGAGATAAAGTGCAGGACTGACAGATCGGTTCTGTTATGAGGTTAATGCTGGAAAGGCCTGCGGTGGGCTGATGCTTACTGTTGAGGGCTGGGTTGTGTTCAGGATTCTGAGGCTGTGCCTGGGGCCCAGTGGACAAAGCCGTGACTGATGGACTCTCACTAGTGAACTCATACAGGTATGGAAATAAAGAATGTTGGAGCCTTGGCCTTGGATTTGCTGACCCTGGGCTAAGGTGGGCCTCCTATAGGCAAAATCAGTTGAAGATGGTAGCTTGAGAACTGCCCTTTCATAACTGAATAATCCAGGATGTTTAGCAATTTGTTTATGATTTAGATCTCAAGAGTCCTGGCCTAGGAAAGATTTACATACCCCAGTAGTCACCTGGTGGCTTGTAGCAGTCAAAGTCCTGAGAGAAAGGACTTTCTCTGGCTAATTGAGGTGATTTTAGTAAAAGGACTATTTGGAAAGGTGTGGGCAGGATTTAGAGAGAGCAACAAAATATGTGCCTTACGTCAGGCTAGTCAGAGCAGGGAATCCTTTCTACATTTCTGTGGGAAGGGTCACGGGAAGGGAGGAGTTACCAAAGCCGGGAGAGAGCTGTAGGGACAAGCCTCCAGATAGGAACTGTGCATTCAGCAGAGGCCTGCAGGCAGAACAGAACCAGGGCAATTCACACCCAGCTTCACTCTCCTCCCTCCCTCCATCTCCTGATAGTGACTCACCTTGGCTGAACCCAACCAGAAACAGGAAAGCGAGGGATCCACACAGTAAGCCTTTGAGGGCACTGAGCAGAGTGGGCACATGGGTCAAAGGACTTCCCAGCAAATGGGACATAACCGTCAC